AAAGCCCGAAGGTGGAAAAAAAGTTTGAGTTGGTTGGTGTTTTTTTTACCTTGAAAGGGGATTTGATAGTTATTAGATGTTTTATGCATTTGGCAAGAAAAATATTTTAGTCTTAAGGATGCAAAAAGAAAGAAAAACAACTAAAGGAGACTAACCTATCTCTAATCTCTAATGTTATCATACAATGATGGTCCTATGATTGAGGATGAAAAAGGGAAATCTCTACCTATCCTAATGTCTAGCTCGAAAGCTACCCTAATCGAGCGATCCTAAGAGAGCATACAAAGGTTCAAAACCTAAGGGAAAATGACATATACAAGGATGAAAAACAAGCAAGCAATCAACAAGATCAAGAGAGCACACACATGTCATGAGTAGTACACACTAACTCGGGTAAAGGCCTAGCCAAGATATAAATGATCGAGGTAGGTACAAAATACATTACAGATGCTTTAGCCAATGGGTCATATCGACCGAGACAAACAAGCAGAAAAGGGGATGAAGCAGGAAGATTTATCCAAGGAGTCATATCAACCGAGGAAAACAAGTGGGAAAGGGGATGAAGCGGGAAAAGTGGATGTCTAAAGTGACTAAACACCTAACCAAAATATCGAAAATTGAGTTAGGAGATAGAAGACAATATGAACAAACACGGAACGTCAACATCGATCAATGCGAGCTCCTGGCGAAGTGTGGAGGTTCTATTGCAAAACCATTTTCCACTCGCCGACTCAATAACAAGAATGGACATAACTCCGAAGCATTGTGGTGCACCACGAGCTAAGGATGACATAGAAGAAAAGCGGGGGTTGATTGAGAACGCTTTTCCACTCGCCTTCTTTTGAGGACTTCAAGAGGAATGGGAATGAGCGCCTCATTTTTAGGTCTTTAGGTACAAATATAAACACACAGCAAAAAAGCCTACTTCGAGGTAGGTCTTTAAACAAACCACAAACTTAATTAGCAAACAAGTATAGAATTGCCTTAAACAGGTCTTTAAATAAACCAGAGAGATTACTGACATAATCCATAACAGATGTCCCCGTCATACATCTCTATCCTACTTCTCATTGCATCAGAAAGCTGTAAAGTGCGGTAAAAAGTGTGAGAGATAAAAGAAATAAATCGGACTACCAATCAAACAAAAACGTGTCACTAAACTGGCAGTAGCAAGAAATCTAGAGAATCTCGAACGAGCTATCATCAACAATAAACAAAGTCAGAATATGCATCGAAGCACCAAAGCAACATAAGTGATGTGTGTCAGCCACAAATGAACAAGTATCCTGCAAGAAAACCAACGATCCAGACAATATATAATATATAAGTATACGCCTCATAACTGAGGGACAAAAGATAACAACATGCGAAGAATGGTTCCCCACACATAAAGCGGAGTACCGAGATGTTGACACATGAGAAATATGATATCCCACCAATAAAGTGGAATACCAAGCAAGTAAGCATAATCAAAATCCATTATGATAATCCTTGTACAAACTCAACAAACAAGTTAGTGATAACAAGAAAGCAACCAACAATTACATCATCAACTCATAATGTCAAAATCAAGTGATGGCATAAAATGGTAAAAGCGGTTATGTCAAATCACAAAGTGTACATGGAATGAATTCGAAACAAGCAAACATGAGTGAAATGGTGCACAAATAACCAATGAAATATGAATACAAGTTAAGTTAAAGTCAAAGCACAAGGTACATGTCAGTCGGTATCAAAAACAACAAAATTGAGAAATAGGCGTCAAAATTTATCGACTCGAAATTAAACGAAAATCACTTGGTTTATTGCAAACATGTCAACAGACTCAAAAACAAAATCGTTTTAAATTAATTCCGCCCGGAAGCAGGACTTTTAGGTCAATTTCGTCGGCTGACAATAGCGAAAGGCGAAAAAAGTATCTGAAACTGAAAATAAATTACACCAATAGCTCCAGAATCATGGAGAAAGTCAAGTTCCACTAATCATAAGTGTAAAAACTCATCATGGTTAGGAAATTAGTTCAAAAATGAGATTATATCAAGTGTTAGAAAAAATTTAAGAATTGTGACATTTTCCACTTATCTCAAGTTTGTATGTATTAAAATAGGTTGGTAATGTGTCTTGAGTCAAATGGAAGATGTTACATGTCATAGATAAGCAAATGTTAGTATGAGTTTATGCATGTTCACACAATTACAATATTACATGTTTTGGAAATGTTAAAGTAAGTGAGCAAAAGTAGAATTTAATAGTAAGTATTAGTAAGTAAGACTTGAATATTAGTACTAGTAATTAGTAGACAAGCGTATGCATATTGAGGTGAATAGCATAGAACAAACACAACACAAGTTAATAATCACGATTCCGAAAAATTAGCATTTAGGCACAACACAATTGAGCTCAAGACTCAACCAATTCCGGATCTATCCATATTTGTTCACAATATCAAGAATCTAACATCAACACAAACAATTATAATTAACTCTATATCAAAAGATTATCACAATATCAAGAATTAGTTCTTATGTCAAGAATTAGCAATACAATTCTATGAGGAATTTCTACATACACCTAATGTGCAAAGGTTATGTCTAAAAAACTATGTCAAAATCTAAATCACAAATTCACATAGACATTATCACAAACACATAATATGCACTAGAATATTACAAATTCTATGTCAAGAATTCTAGATCTAAATTAATCTACTTCATCAATTCATGCACAATTCACATAAACAAAATCAAATTACTCAAGTATTCAAAATAACTATGTGAATCAAGTAATGTTACCTAAGAGAATTTGTAGAAAATTGGAAGTTGAATGATGTTGATGATGATGCTTGCGATAACGAAGAGATAATGGAAGGAGTGTCCAACCGGAGCTATCGATAACGGAGGGAGTATGCGACGGAGGAGAAGACCGCGGACGGAGGGCGGATCACCAGAGGGAGGAGGCGTCGGAGCGACGGTGGCGGTGTGGGAGAGAGAGGCCGCGAGTTCTTCTTGGAGAGAGAGAGAGAGAGAGAGAGAGAGAGAGAGAGAGAGAGAGAGAGAGAGAGAGAGAGAGAGAGAGAGAGAGAGAGAGAGAGAGAGAGAGAGAGAGAGAGAGAGAGAGAGAGAGAGAGAGAGAGAGAGAGAGAGAGAGAGAGAGAGAGAATTTTCTTCTCTTTGATTTTTGTGTTGTTGTGTTGAGAGAATGTGAGAGAGTTTGAGAGAATGGAAAATGAGAGTGAAGAGGAAAAATGAGATTATGAGAGTCTCCCTGTAAAAATTTAAAATTCAAATATATATAGTTTGGCTCCAAAGTGGTGTTTGGCTTGCTTTTTTCGGGTTTTTTTATTATGCATGCTCGATACAAAACCCAATCCTCATGATAATCGGGGGAAAATCAAGACATGCAGTCAACAACAAAATCGTTCGCAACGAAATGTGTCACGCGGTGCAAAAAGAACGGACACGATATGATAAAAATTGAGTGAGTTCGACAACTTTAAGTGATGAAACCTCAAATAAAAAATTATAAAAATGGATTTTTCAGCTTATTTCGAGCTTAAGTGACAACGACGTGCCTCTCGGAGCAAGATACATATTTGGGACCTAAAGAAAAGTTTTAGGTGATGAAATTTTTGATGCAACTAAAAAAGAACGGGCTCAATCGAATAAAGGATGAGGAAGTTATGAATTTTTAAAGTTGTATTGATGCATAGCAGAATGAACCAAAACAACTTTTTCTCAATTAATTTCAACGTTCAGTCCGGAAAAATGCCTTGAACGATAATTATCCGATCAAAACTTGAATTTGGCATGTGAAGAAAACTTGTATCTGACATCATTTATGAAATTATGCCAAAAGAACCGTCTCGATACGATAAAAATCGAAGGAACTACGAATTTTATAATATCGAGAAACATAAATTACAATTCAAGTTCAACATAATTATTTCTCTAGTAATCCGTAATTCTGGGGACCTTCCTCAAAGAATTAGCTTTCGGTCCAAACAAGAGAGTTGAAGAGGACATCAAGCCGAAAGACTCCTTTTTCTTTGCATCAAAATTTGTTTATTTAATTTTGTTGGAAGAGTCTTAAGGAACATGGCACATAATTAAAGGAACTCTACTCTACCAAAATGGGACTTTCTAATGCCAAAACCAATCACAACTTAATTCAGGTGTATAGCTGAAATTTGAATTTTATATAAGAAACAAATATAGTTTCTTATTAATTGAGCTCTGTTACAAATTGGTATTGAAACAAATTTAATTGAAATCTATGACTTCTGTTACAACCTGAATTTAAGTGTAATGTTGAGATAGATACATATTTGAAACTTGTAAAGCTACATATAAAAGAATCATTTAACAGTTTTAACCAAACTGGTAAAGCATGTGACAACAAAGGTATGGGATTTTTTAATTGAAATATTACTCCTTCTCCATAAATTGTAACAGCAACTCAATTGTGCATATTGGCTATGCTGCATATAACAACACATATGGTCAGACTATGAAACAATTATTTACATAAACAATAATAATATGTTTCGGTTGGTGTTGGCATTACTACGGATGCATCAGAATTGAAATATTAGTCAAGAAATTAGGACATACACATTATATTCAAAATCAAGAAAAGTATGTTGTGGTTGATTTTGTCTTACTACTAATAAGTCAGGTTACTCAACAGAAAATAGACTTAAGTCAATTTAAGCAGTTAGCATAAGTCAGTTTAACAGTTTATCATAAGTAGATAAAAAAAGGAAACCACTATGACAAAATCATCGGTAATCATATACATTTCTGGTTTCTTTGCATAACTTCTAGGACTTACGATAGGAGGATTGGAATACGTATTAACCAAAAGGTCTGGCCATTGCAATCTGGAAAAAACCTAAAACATTGAAAACAAAACACAAAAACAAAACCAGGGTTGGCTCGTTGAAAATAAATAATAAAAATTATTCAACAGAACACAGGGAGAAGAAAAAGAAGAATCAAACTTTATCGAAGATGAGACCATTTCAAGCTTTCTGAAGTCCAAAATCTGCATAAACCTAAATCATGTAAGTAACTACAAATAGTCCTAGATTCAGAGCATATGATCATACCATATAACTGAACCAGGGTTTTATTAGAGTCATAGTATAAATGGATCTGATAAAATTCAACCAGGAAAACCAGATGTGGATGCAATCTAAGGAAGAAGAGAGAAAAAGAAAATTAAATATACTACAAACAAATATACTACAAATGACCTACAAAGAGAGGAGGAGGTAAATCGTTGGAAATGAATAAGATGATCGACACACAAAAATAAACTTGAAATCAATCCTTGTTACAAAAAACTCAATAAGGTCGTTATGCAATCTTACAACTAACACCGAAGATGATTTGTGCAATCTAAGACTGCCTGCAAGTGAATTTATAGGAGAAAGAAGGATGAAAGTCATTGGGAAGTTAAAAGGATAACAAACCTTGGTAATGACATAGCGTGAGAAACTGAACAAAATGGAGACGATTGGAACGACAGGCATTATGAGAGCGTGAGAATATCAACTGAATTCGTCCAATCAGATTAATTGGTTATGAAAATCATTTATTTAATTGGATCAATGGTATCAAGACAGAAATAACCCTTATAAAATCATACAATAATTTTTTTTTACAAAATGAGAAATTTGAGTTTTCCACGACATACTCCTTTCTCATATCATAGATTTTTGTTAATGATGCTACGAATAAGATATTTGTAGTTGAAGAAAGAACTTTGCAAAGTTTGTAAAGATTGACATTTTAGAGTAATATTGAATTTTAAATGTGAAATTGTCAAAGTATCACGTTAATTAAAAATAAAAAATATTAAATTTATCAAAAAGATGACTGATATTCTAATTATATTAAGATTTTAAATGAATATATAAAATTAAAATCTCTTAAACTACGAACATTTAATCCATTAATACTTTTTAACATTTTTCATACTCTCCGATAGACTCCATACATAGCAACAAAATATGAGCTTATGGGTACCGACCAAATCTACTTTGAGTTTGTCGAAGAAAATTAGTTTTAATTGAGTTTTGAGTATGAATTTGAATTTTTTTTTCTAATTTCAAAAGATTACTAATAATAAAAAATATATGATTTTGATCATTTAAAATATCAATTGTTTAGTTAATATATTGATATTTTAATTTGTATTTTATTATATGAAATATATGATTGAAATTTTTGTAAGTTTGTTTTAATTTATTATTTCTAATGTTTATTTGAATTATATACCAATTATGAATATGAAGAAATTAATTACTTTATTCTTAAAATTTTTAATTTTGATGCAGAAATGAAGCAAAGAGGTGATACTAAATTCTTTTCAGTTGAGTATTGAGTTCAACTATTTTTTTTTTTAATTTAGGGTGGAGAAAAAAAATATAAATGTTATATAAGTTTGTGTCCTTCTCGTCTCCACTCTCCACTTTGTTCTTATGTCTAGTTGATTTGATACATAAGATAAAAAAATATAAATATGATACGATAAAAAGTTGGATAGCGATAAAATATAATATATTAATTTTATAACGTTTTTGATGCACAAGCGATAAAAAATATAGTATTAGTATTTAATTATTTTATATATTTATTGTTAAATAAAATTATATCATCTTTAAGTTATTTTTTTAACAAGTTTATCATTTAAGTTTTTTTTTTTTTTGATCATTTGGGCTTTTAAGGTGATTTCTACATCATTTTTATCACATTTTAAACATTCAGAAATATGCAACTATTGTATTTTTGGTTGTACTTCATCATTTTTATACCACTCAAAATAATTGCATCCATAATTAGCACATTTCCTATGTTAAAAAGGATAACAGTTGTCGCAGTGAAAAATCAAGGAGACCAAGCTATTGAGAAATTTGACTCACAAATACTTTAAGAAGTCACCACCGAAACTTTATTATTTTCAAGAAAAAGGAAAATGATCAAAACCCTATTGTTTAATATGCAATGCAAGGAGTAAAGACTAAAAGCAAAACATAAAGAAGAGATTTAAGGTACAAGGGTTAGTTTATACAAAGGGAAGATATTAACACCCTATGTATTTGTAGTACTCTACAAGAACCTTTTGTAATATCTATTTTTGGCTAAAATTGTTTGCTTGGTAAAAAATTGTAGTGATGAGAACAGAAGTATACTTTAAGATGTTTTCGTTTGGAAAGACATAGTTTTATATCTACGTATCAACGAAGGATCAAAACCTTGTACTTCATGGTAAAAATAATAAAACAGTTTATTGTGGTTGATTTTAGGAGAAGAGATATTTCATCATCTTAAGGAGAATGCTCAACTAATACCACCACAAGTATGAGAAGATGGATCTTACACCATCATAAAAGAAGGACTACTAACTTGGATATAAGATCAACAAGTCGCCACTAATTTCCTTATATGGAAAGAATCAACATTTACTTCAATCATTACTATAGGGATATGAGACTCATATCTCAACTATGAAAAGAATGTATTTTTAGTCTCTTTGAGAAAAGGTTTTAAATTGAAAAGCCAAGTGGCAAAAAGATTTGAGTGAGGTTGAATCACTTTTAGTTTGTTTTTTTGAAATTGTTTAATATGCTTAAATGTATTGAAGCATTTATTAAAGAATAAAGTTTGAAAATGCAATGACACAAAGTCAAAGTTTTTATATGAAAATGGTTCAAGTTTGAAAATGAGTTTTTAGGGTTAAAGGGTTTTAGAGCACATAAGAATACATAGGGTGAACATTCGAGGGTATTGTACCCCAAAATTTGCCTCCCATTTTTCATACAAGATACAATCCTAGGGTTTCTCGGATATTCAAGATTGGCTCAGAAATCGATCAGACAAATTCTCTTCCGAGGCGGTAAAATCAGCAATTAAGGTTTCGCATTTCTCAAAAGAAAATGAGTTTTCAAAGTTTCAAATGGTCTTTTCGGTCCTTCATGTGTTACCGGAGATGTTTGTGCCAGTTTCAAGCCTCGCATCGTGAGTTTGCTCTGTCAGTGGTTCAGACGACTGAAAATGACTCCAGTAACCCAAAAGATGACCTTTTGCGACATCAATTTCAAGTGACTGTAACTTCTTCGTTATTTGATATTTTTGGATGTTTCTTTTGCGTATGACTCTCCTTGATGTCATCTCTATTTTCTCTTCACAAGTCAAGATTTGATTATGTGCGAAAGATCATCAGAAAATTCTAATGCTTTAAAGGTCATTTTGCAAATTTGACCTAATCACAAGAGACTCTTGTCCAATTTTCGAGGCTCACAATTTCTTCAATTTTCAATATCATGAAGTGATTCTTTTTGCAAAGTATCACAAATAGTATTGTCTATGAGATTACTTCAACGGTCAAAGTCAAAGTGAGCTTGGAAGACCATGAAATTTATTAAAATTTTACAAGACATTCATTAATACTTTCAAGTCCATTTGTTTCTCATTCATCCATTTCAAATTCAATGTGCTAAATCCATGGATTCAAAGTCAATTTCAAATGATTCAAGTTTGCAAGACGTAATCAATTTGTTCATAAACTTCATTCAAAGTCTCATTATCCATTCAAGTTCAAAAGTTCTACATGTGAATCAAGTTCACATCGATTCTACATATTACAAGACAAGTTTTATTCCAAGTTTCCATTCTCAATTTCAAGTCCAAATCTTATTCCAAATTTTAACTTTTCAAGGCTATATTCAAAAATCAACTCATCATTCTTCAAAGGAATTTGCAAAGCTTAAGTTGATCACTCTTGAAGACTTTGAACAAGAAAAAGACTTCATTCAAATTTCATGAGAAGCTTAGAAGACTACAAAGTGACTTTTGAATACCTAAGTCCTCACCATTATCATACAATTTCCTTTTGGTACAAGGCTTACGTTCAATCTGTCATCCAAAGTGTTGTTCAAGATCAAAGAATGTTCAATTGTTAAAGTTTTTTACAAGCTTGCAATTACAAAAAAATATGTTACAAAATTCCTAACAAAGCACTAATTACAAAGGAGTTTTCTTCATCATCAAGTTTTCTTCAAGTGCTTCAAGTCACTCTTCGCCAATTCTCCCTATCATCCAATGGGCCCGTACATGTAAACAAAAGAAGAGCATTAGTTAGCAAAATTCATGTTTGAATAAGATTGGAAAATTTCAAAGAAATCTCTATATTTTCATCATTAGGGATTGGTAAAAAGAATCAGAAATAAAGGGACAATGTTTCGTCCGTGTTTGGTCCATTGAAAATCACAATTTTCAATTGGTTCAAAGAGGACAAAATGAGGAGAAATGCAAGTCAAAATCAATAATTTCATCATGGTTTCAAATGCTGCAAAATAGTTTACATCACAATGAAAAAAGCACAATCACAAAAAGCCAAAATGCTGTAAAAAATGGACTGCATTGCAGCCCTCCATATGCTGTCCATAAAAAGCCAAAATACTGTCAAAAATGGACTGCATTGCAGCCCTCCATATGCTGTCCATAAGAGGCTAAAATCTGTCCAAATAGCTGCAAACATACAGTCTAAAATTGCACATAAATAGGCTAAGTCAAAATTGCAACAAAAAGGAGCAAAAACAACATAACACAAATGTTCAAACCCAATTGCTTTTTCCCCCCAAAAGTTTTGTTTTTCAAATATAACAGGGCCATTTTGGGACAGCAAGAGGAGGAGAAAAACAGTTTTCATTATTCAAGAAGAACCAGCAGTAAGAACAGCATAACAAAGCATACAAAAACCCCAAAGATATCATCATCATTTTCTTAAAGACCACCCTTCGGAAAGGAAGAGAATACAGAAAAAGGATAGAAATCTACTTCTCTGCCAAGCAAAAGCCAGCAACAAGGTAAAGTCTACATCACTTTTTCTGCATTTACCATAAAATCTATCATCTGCATATATTATGTTCTTTGTTAAATAATCAGAAAATATAATCAACGAAAAAACCAACAAAACCAGTAAATAATCATGAACTAGTAATAGGACAGAGAAAACCATCATCACTCATCATCCAAAAAACAGAAGAAAATATAACAACCGATCAAAGCCAACAACTCCATAACCATCAATCTGAGAACACAAACTGAAAAACAATGTGGAAAACATTTTCAATTTCATCTTCTTCTAATAAAACCAGAAGAGAAAATCCCCAAACCTGAAAACCCGAAACGGAACCGAAATGGGTAAGGATCTGAGCGACGATCAAATCCTTTCCATGAAAGAAGCTGTTGTACCCCAAAATTTGCCCTCCCATTTCATCAATATTTTCTCACCACAAGACCCTTGGAGCTCAAGATCAAGTTAGGGTTTGCTCTGCTCAAGACTCCTCCTTGCACTGTTGACCCAAATTAGGGTTTGAGTTTGCACAAAGATGTTTTGACCTAAAATGCCCAAGACAACTTTCATGCTTCATGTTGGACTCACAAGTTTATCCATACCAAGTTTCAAGCCTTGATTCCAATCTTTGCCCAGTCAACTGGACAGTTGACCTAGAAGTCAGCTGTATTG